CCGCTCCGCCGCACCCCGTTCCGCCGCCCCCCGCTCCGCCGCCCCCCGCGCTGCTCCTCGGCTCCGCCGTCTCTGGGCTTTAGGCTGGCGGCAGCCCGTTTCTCAGGGAAATAGTGCTTTGTGTAACTGAATTGACATTTGGCCTTGATACCTGTATCTCCTGATAACTGAAACAAATTTCTAAAATAAATATTGTACTTTGATCTTCCAGCCCTGTATTTTTAATGGCAGCTCTGAACATCACTTCATTAAGAATACATTTCAGGAGACTGAAACGCTCCGAGTTTGAACACTAATTATTTGTACAGAAAATTATGACTGCAACGTTTCATTATTCAGCCCATTGGTTTCTTCCAGAAATTAGAAATTATTCTCGATTTTTAAGTAATGTGCTTTCTTGGATGCAGATTTATGGCATTTGTAGTGTAGCATCTGTATAGAAAGTTACCCAACTTTCCACTAACTCTTTTGTAACGTGACAAATCATTTTGGTTCATCGACAGATCTGGGGAAATGATGTACCTTAAAAGTTGGGGGGAACTTCGAGATGTTCCATGTCTCCTGAACTACCTATCGAACCTCATTTTGTTTATAAGTATTGTTCAGATTGTTCTCCTAGCAATTATTTGAGAAAACGAATTAACAAAAATAGAGGTAGGAATTAAACCGAGCACCTCGCAAGAGTCCGAGGTTGGCACAAGTTTGGGGATGTCGAAGTTTAGGGACGCCGCGAGTGCGAGCGCCGCCGTTTGGCTTGTCTGGCGGGTTGTTGCTCCTGCGGGGACCAGAGGTGCGGGTCGGGGTCCCCCCGCCGGGGTCCCCCCTCGGCTCCGGCTGCCCCGGCCGAAGCTCAGACGGCAGGGGAAGGCGGGCGGGCTCCTGACCCGGTGCGGCTCCTGCGGCGCGGCTGGAGCTCGGAGAGTGAGTGCGGGGCACCCGGCGGCTGCGGGCGGGGGTGTGCGGGGTGTGCGGAGATGTGTGCGCCCTCCTGGCTGCCCTGCCGGCCCGGGGCTCGCTGCGGTTCCCTGTCCCCCGTCGTGTCCCGCGGGGGAGCGGGGCGGCCCCCATCGGAGGGTGCACCGGCGGTGCTGGGGGGGTGTTTGCGTGCGGTGGATGGAGGTGCTGGACCCGGCGAGGCCGGCACCCCGGCAGGCAGATGGGGACCCCGCTGCCCGCAGCCTCACGCCCCGCCGGGGGCTGCTGCCGGGCCCCTGCCGCCGTGCACCGGTGCGTGGCAAAAGCGCTGGGTGCGGGGCGCTTGACCCTCCGTTACCGACCTGGTGAAGCGGTGACCTGGCACAAGGGAAGAGCTTGAAGTGGCTGCTGCGTAGAGATCAGTGTTACACGAGGTCGAGCTTTTACTTCTCCCCAGGACTCTATATGGAGCCGTGGGAGAGGACTTGGCGCTTTAATCCCTTCAAAGAAACCGATCTAATTCAAGCCCTACAACTCTTGGAAGTCTTTGAGCGGACAGCGATTGTTTCCACAGGAAAGCCAGATAAAGATCTCTGTGTGCTGGCGTTTAAAGAGACTTCAGTGGCGGTGTGAATACAATTGAACCCAGCGACTGCGGGGAGGATCGAGTTACCTGGGCAAACAGCTCCGGGGGACCGCAGGCGGGGGCATCTGCCCGAAAGGGCACGCACACACCCCCCGCACCCCGCTCCCCCGCCCCAAGGCAGAGCTGAACGTCCCCGCTTGGTACCTGGCCAGAGGGGCCGGCTCACACGCCTGCGGTGGCCTCGGAGCAGATGGGGAAGCGGCGAGGAGGGGAGGGCGCTTCCAGGGCCCCCGGCGGAGCGCGGTGCTGAGCGGCCCGCGGAGAGGCGCGGTGCGAGGGGTCCCGCCGGCTCTGCCGACCACCAGGCGCAGCGGCGGGCGGTGGCGTTAAGCCGTGACCCAGATGCGCTTGGTGGTGGCTACCGGGGAAATAGCCCCGCACGTGGTCCTGAGAAAAGCGGGTTAGACATAAGCACGCACGTATATATGTATATATGTATATATGTATATACACACAGGCCGAAAGGTGAGGGGTGAGGGAGCAGAGCCCTGGGGGCCGAGTTTGGCTTTGTGGCAGGAGGTGGCGAGAGGCGGGCGGCACACCCCCGGTAATAAGGTCCGCGGAGCCCCCCGGAGCCGCTCTGGTCTCCGGGCCAGGCCAGACCGGCTCCCGCGGACGCGCATCCCGCCTCCAGAAACGCCACCGAGAGAGACTCCTGTCTTCATTTAAAGAAAATACGTCTTTTATAGCCGGCCCCCGCTAGGGAAGAGGAAACTTTCCCGTTCGGTTTCTCGGCTGGCCGGTTTGTCGGTGTGTGTGTCTGCGGGAGCGGTCGGTGCCGGTGTCACCCCGCCGTCCCTCCTCCGAGCCCGGCCGGGCGGGGGCTCCCGGTAACACGGGGTTAGCGCCGGCTGAGCGGAGCGAAACCAAACCCAGCTACCGGAGGGGAAAATGTGCGGTTGTTTGCGGAGTCATACCGAGGGCATATCCCTCAGCCTCGGGGGAAGGGCGGGCGGAGGGAGGGAGCGGGGAGGAACCACCGACAATTACTCCAGGGAAGTTTTACGACTGGGATCGACCGGCCCCGATCAGGTGAACTCGCTTGTGCTCCTGTTACTTTGAGTCATCAAACACTATCAGCGGAATCCGGAGGCAGATTTCGCGGGCGATAACAAAGACACATTGTCACTTTAGGGCTCTGCTACAAATCCTTAATTGCAAAAAAAAAAAAAAAAAAAAAGGGCAGTGTCTTGCACATCCAATGCGAGGGTCTCCAGGCGGTAAGGGGTCCTTTGATCAAGAAAATCCAATTATTTGTGTATATACATTTCCCACATAGTGATTACTTCATTAATTGTCCCGCCTTTATCTCCTCCCTTCCCATCCCCCCTAATAATCAGTTCTTTTATCCAGACCAACAAACACACCATAGGAGCTTTGTGGATTCAAAGGATTTGCTTTCGCTTCTGAAAGAGCCGCTATTCTTTGATGATTGGGTAGCGGCAAACTTCAAAGCCATAAATCTTCCCTCTGACTGGCTGGCGGCCCAGCAAAGTCCTTATCAAATTCTTGGAGGTGATCCTGGTGCAGTCAGACAGTCCGCGGAGATCGCGCAGCGCGGGGGGGGTGGGACAGGCACAGAGGCGAAGAGATCAGAGGGAAGAGAGCGAGAGAGAGCGAGAGAGAAGGAAACTGGGCAGCTCCTCGTCTTCCCCTCGGCGTCTCCATGCCTCGGCGGTGCCCCGGCGCCTTCCCCTCTCCCCGGGCGCAGTAGCCATGGCCGCGGTGGCTGTCCTCCGGAACGACTCCCTCCAGGCTTTCCTCCAGGTCAGTACCCGCGCCCGGGGCTGCCCGCAGGGCGCCGCGACCCGCGGTGCCGGGGGGGTGCAGCTGGCGCTTTGCCGCCTCCTTCCCGGGGTCTCGCCCCCGCGGCGGCCCGGGAGGGGCGGGCAGGGTCCCCCCGCGGGGGGGAAGAGGCCGGGTTCGGGCTCCTCGGGCCGGCAACTCCCCTCTCCCGCCAGGAGCCCGGCGGTAACTCCAGGCAGCGGCCCGGGGCGGGGGGAGGACGGGATGGACGGATGCGGGGCGGGGGCTGCCCCCTGACCGCAGCGGCCGCTTCCCCGGCGCCCCCGGCCCAGGAGCGGTGGCGGGGCCGGTCCCCGGGCGGGGCGGGGGGGACGGGGCTCGCCCTGCCCGCTCGGGCAGAGCCGTTTTGGGGCGGCTCGCCGGCCGTGCGGGAGCGGCGCGGGCAGGAGGCGCAGAAAGTTTCCCGCGGGCGGCGCGGCCGCTCCCGGGGGTCGTCGTCGGCGAGGAACGCGCTCTCCTCCTCCCTCCCTCCCGCTCCCGCGCAGGACCGCACCCCCAGCGCCTCCCCAGACTTGGCCAAGCACTCGCCCCTGGCTCTTCTGGCCGCCACCTGTAGCCGGATCGGACAGCCGGGCGCAGCGCCCTCGGATTTCCTGCAGGTCTCCTACGACCCGACGCTGGGATCCCCCTCCAGGATCTTCCACCCGTGGAGCGGCGAGATGCCGGCGCACTCCCCGGGGGGGCTGCCGCCGCCGCACCCCAGCCTGGGGCTGACCCCTCAGAAGAACCACCTGCAGCCCTCCTTCGGGGGGGCGCACGAACTGCCCCTCACCCCCCCGGCGGACCCCTCCTACCCCTACGAGTTTTCCCCCGTCAAGATGCTGCCCTCCTCCATGGCCGCCCTGCCGTCCAGCTGCCCCCCCGCCTACGTCCCCTACGCCGCCCAGGCCGCCCTGCCGCCCGGCTACTCCAACCTGCTGCCGCCCGCGCAGCCCTGCCGCCAGCTCTCCCCCAACCCGCCGCCCGAGGACATCCCCTGGTGGAGCATCCAGCAGGCCGGCGCCCCGGCCGGCTGCGGCCACCGCTTCCCCGCGGCCGCGGCCCTGCCGCGGAGCCTGGTGCTGGGCCACTCGGACTTCGCCCAGTACCAGACGCAGATCGCCGCCCTGCTGCAGACCAAGTCTCCCCTGGCGGCCACGGCCAGGAGGTGCCGCCGCTGCCGCTGCCCCAACTGCCAGTCGGCCGCGGGCAGCGCCCCGGAGGCGGAGCCGGGCAAGAAGAAGCAGCACATCTGCCACATCCCGGGCTGCGGCAAGGTGTACGGCAAGACCTCGCACCTGAAGGCGCACCTGCGCTGGCACACGGGCGAGCGGCCCTTCGTCTGCAACTGGCTCTTCTGCGGGAAGAGCTTCACCCGCTCCGACGAGCTGCAGCGGCACCTGCGGACTCACACGGGCGAGAAGCGCTTCGTCTGCCCCGAGTGCGGGAAGCGCTTCATGCGCAGCGACCACCTGGCCAAGCACGTCAAGACCCACCAGAACAAGAAGCTGAAGGCGGCGGCGGACGGCGTCAAGCGGGAGGACGGCCGCGACCTGTGACCGCCGGGCGGCGGGGCGGGACCGGCCCGGCACCGCACCTGCGGGCCGCCCTGAGCCGCGGGGAGCTGGGCCGAGGGCGCCCGGGGGCCGGGCGGCGGCGGGGAGGGAGAGGGGCGACCGGCTCTCGGACTCGCGTCGGGCCCGGCGAGCGGGA